TTGCACTGCTGCTTATAGTTGCTATCACATGCTTAAAAAGTTTTTTTTGGTGTATTTGGCTAAGCAGTTAATGTCGATGTCATTATTAGTCTACTGTTGGTTTTTTTTTCTTGTTAAGCCTTTACAAAACTGCAGCATTTATATGCTCAACTGCGAAATGCTTACTGTTGCTATTGTAGCAGTTTGTTGCAGTACTAGGTAACCAATCAAATTATCACTGTTATTAGGGCTAATTTATCAGTTTTGAAGTACTTAAATTTGATACTGTTACAGTGAAGCATTTGTTGTGCTGTTATTAAGGCATATTTGTTGCTTCAACACTAGCACCGGTTTTTTTCTTCTGTGGGGGAGGGGAGGAAAGAGGGGAAGGGATTGGAGGCGAAGGGGTTTTGTTGCTAAATGGCCGTCTGAAAAGCTTTGCTTTTCGGTCATAATGAAAAACCTTTTTAGGTGTTTTTAAGAGTTACGTTAACAACTTTTTTTCTCACATACACTGTTGTCAATATTAGTTGAAAGGAAAAAAATGGTCGTATAATTGCTTGAATGCATAAGTTATTCTTTTTGCTGATAGATGATAGATGCTACTATTGTTATTAAGAAACAAAAATTATGGAGCAAAAAAAGTAGTCTATACGTTGATTGGATTTGCTAAGATTAAGCGATAGACAGCAGCAGTGTTTGTTGGGTGTCGACATAGTAACTCACAACGTTTGTACAATATAACACACACAGAAACGCGGATACACACCCAAACACACGCACACACACAGACAAACTTATCACTAATTCACAGTTTATATGTCGAATAAGTTTAATCTTATATTGGTTTATTAACACTAAGAAAACCTGTAAAATAGTTGAGAATTTTACTTTTTTTATTTTTTATTCTTTTTTTTCTTCTTCCCTTTCTGCATCTTCTCGTTCTTCTGTTGGTTAATTTATTTTTGTTGATCTTTCAGCTCTTCATTGAAAATACAGCAGTAAAGAAAGAAAAATGAACAATTTTTTCTAGTTCATTAAACTAATTATTTTCTAACATTTATAGATAACAAATAGCTATCAAGCTTTGTTGTTTTTTTGGAGAGGAGGGGGATACATTGTACTTTCGAAAAAAAACCGTTTTTACTAATATTTTTTTCTGTTTGCTTTTTTTAATACATCAAATCAAATTTCATAAGCACTCCTTAGTATATTTCTTTTTTTTGAAGGGTAGAGGAAGGTGAGGTTTTTTTGTTATTTTTTTTTTGTTGTTTTTCTTAATTAACGCTTGTTGCTGTAACAAAAACGCTTAGTGATTGTAATTAGCTTAATGAGACCGCTCGACCGGCTACACAACGCGAGATACTGGAACGACGGATACATGGTGATGCACCTGGTATGCGTTATTTCGAGCATGGAGCTCACGTCCTGGTCATGTCAGATTACTTATTTGAAGCTGTGAGTTTAGAGTGCAGTTGCTAAAACAACAACAACAAAAACATTCATTTTTTTTCGTTGTATTTTTCGACGTTTTAAAATTATAATGCATGCATGGATGAGCATGAGCACTTTGATATGTAAAAAAAAACTGTTCTGCTCAATATGTCTGTATTAGCAGATGAATTTTACTGTTGTTGTCAGCGTTAACATCTGATGATCATGCCAACATCGTTTAAAAGACCCAACACTGATCTACCTGGCTTGCCTGTTAGTTCAAGCATGACTGGTTTTTTGAATGAAATGAACTGCTACGATGCTGTCGTTGTATTCCCTTAAATTTTGTCTAATTATTTCAGCTAGTAAAGGTTTGTTGATATAATTTCTTTTTTTTTTCTTAATTGTATTTTATTTAACTGTATATACTTATACAACCTTTTAATTTTTCTTATGTTATTCTGAATGATGCTGCATCGCCATAAAGAAAAGGTCTTCACAACCATTTTCTGATTAGGAGGATCTTTACTCATTTTTATTCTTTTTTTTCTCTGTTATTTATCTAACAGTATTGGAATTTTTATTTTTCTTTATTTTTTTTCTTGTTTGAAAATTATTATTTATGATCAAAATTTCTGAAAAAGTACTGGCACAATTTCAACAAATTTTAGTTTATAAATTTTTGTACTGCTTCATTTATTACTTCAAAATGAGTATATTTTTTTGATGAAATTTTTTGTATTTTTTAGTTCGTACATCGTCAAAAATTTACCACTGTTTAGGATTTTTTAATTTTTGGATTTAAGTTCTTACACAATGGTGTCTGATAGTTGGTGATAATGTTGATGGTAATTGATAGGACTGTTAGCATTGGAATTACAAAAAAAGAACCAGTTTTTTGGAAAAGTAAAAAAAAATTATTGTAAGCAACTTTTTCATTATCTGTTAACTATTTTTAACAGGTGTTTCGCTAACGTTGTTTAAGTTTGTACAAAAGTTCATAAATTTATAGTTTATACCGATATGATGAACTTTATTTCTAAACTTGAAAAAGATGAAAAAAAGTGAAAGTAAACTAAAAATATACTTTTGTCTTCTGCATCTCATCGGCTTCCTTTTTTTTAATTGTTTTTTTGAATGCTCATGAGCTTGTACTGCAATTCTGTGATGTGATGTTACATGAAACAATTTTGGTCATGATTTTTTGGATAATAGGCACATATATGAAATCTTAACTAAGCTATTGAATATTTTTCGTTAAGATTGGGAATTTTATGCTCTAATTGAAGCTTTTGTTACATTTACAACTAGCCGAACTGAAATGGTAAGGAAAACTTTGATTTTTTTCTCTCTTTTACTTCTCAGGTTTCTTCTCCTCTTTCTTCTACTTATTGTTTACCTTCTTTTCCTTCTGCATTCCTTCTCTCCTCAACTATACTTTGTTCTTTCTTCTGTTGGTTTATCTGCATGATGTTGGACGGATATCCCGTAATTTGAAACCGGCAATTCTTATCCCAGTATGAATGCATGCTTCATCTATGGTTGTCAGCGCTTAGTCGAATTGTATTTGATAAGTTTGAAGTCAGTTAGTCTAAGTGGTAGTTGAGTTTTGGTTGTTCCTGTTCACGTACTTTCTTTTCGGTTTTATTTGTTCTTTTTTTTTCTGTCTTTTAATCATATGTTTGTAAGTGTGGAAAAAGATTTCTTTTGCTACCCGATGATGATGAAAAGTGTGTATCCTTTCCTGTTCTGATATTTTATTCCAACTTTTTTTTTTTTTTTTATTTGTGACAACCAGTGATTCAGGTGGTGATATTTAGAAAAAATAATTGGTGTTTTTTTTTGTTTTTATTTTCGTTTCCCAGTTTTATACTCTCCTGCAACTCCTTTAGTTTTGTTGACACCAAGCTGTTTGGAAGCAAAAAAACAGTATGCTAAGTAATGAAAAACAAAAACAGTTCAGTTGTTTTAGATTGAAAAATACAAGGAAGAAGGAATGCATTTGGGCTGTAATGATGTAATAATGCTAATAACTGATGGAGCACCAAGTAATTATGAGCATATTTTTGCCAAGTACAATAGTAATAAACGGGTTAGTGATTATACTCTTTAAAAAAGTCTTTTTTAATTTCACCTGTTTTTTTTTGTCGTTATTTCAGACTACAAGGAAACTTTTGTGTCACATTTTTTCGTTTTCTTTTTCTTGCCTTTTAGCAAAGTCTTGTTGAATGATTGACCAACGAGTGAATTCTTTATGGTCAAACAAGTCTCATCTAGTTTAATTGATTGTTAACGCTATCGAGCTGACTTTGCTGATAAGAAAAATTTCTAAGTGGTAAAAATGTTGTCCTAATGCTTAAGCTTAATATTTAGATTCGATTTTTTTCATTTTTGATTGGCGAAGAAGCAACACAATTTGATCAGGTGCGTTGGATGGCCTGTCACAACAATGGTTTTATGGTTCATATCAACAATCTGGCAGATGTTCAGGAGAAGGTTCAGGTAAGTAGTATTGCTTTTTCTTTGTAATTTGTGTACTCCTAAACGAAATTATTTTTGTAACTCTTTTGGAGTATTGGAAGGAATACGGTAAAACTGGTTTCTAACGTATACCCAATTTTACTGAATAGGCAAAAAAGTCTTTCTTTGTAGTATTATATCAAAGTAATGTCACGTCCAGTTGGTAAATATGCAGCAAAAATTAAGCAAAATGAAGGTGTATGGAGTGCAGTGTACCAAGAAAGATTGGTAAGAAAATTATTTTGAAACCGAAAAAAAAGTTATCAATTTTTTTGCTTCATTAGACACCAAAAATAGTGGCTACAGTAATTTAAATAATTGAATTACCAGCTTAGTAACGTACAATCAAAAAAAAACTATTTTTTTTTTGTTTTCAGTTAACAACATGGAAAAATACTTCATATCAGGTACGCTTTTTTAAAATATTTTTGCTTCAAATCTTTGTCACTTTCAGCTCAGTATTTTTGTGCTAACAGTTTATTGTTTTTTTGTGGGTTTGTGCACCATTTTTAAATGCATTATTTGTAGAAATTTTTGTATTTCAGTATCTACGAACTCGTCAATTGGACAACAAGGTTTTTTGTTTGAAGCAAAAATATTCCAAGATTCTTATTTTTATACTTCTCCTGTTTTCTTTTTTTTCTGACTTTTATTTTCTGCTTAAAACTTTGATTCTGTTTGAAGAGGTAAGTTATATTTGAAAAAAAAAAGTAAAAACTATGACAGGAAATTAGTTGAATGTTTCTTTCTTTTGACAAAATTTGTTGATATTTTTGGTCTTTGCTTCAGACGGAAATGTTTGCGATTACTTTGGGTTATCCGGTAGCTGTTAACGGTGTTCTGAAGGGTGTTGCAGCAGTTAATGTTCCAGTGAATGAGTTACAACAGTTGGCCAATGTTTTCAATGTCAGCTTTTTATTGTTTTCAATTTTTAACATTTATTTATTTATACAAGAAATTATTTATTATTGGTATAGTTGAAAATTTAAAGCAAAGCCAAAAAAAAAATTGGCAGATCAATTCTATACACTGTCAGTAGGTTAGTTATCTTATTGACTGTAAGTCATAATTATTGATTACCAATTGAATAATAGTTTTTGAACGATCGTTACAGTAGTTTTTTGTTTTTATCCAATTATAACATTAGAATTAAAGCATTTAAATTTTTACTGTGAAGAATACCGTTGTTTAACAAAACTGTAACTATACTCTATTTCGTCTTTTTTTTTAGCCCGGTGTTCAAAGTTATATGTTTATGTTGAACAACAATGGTTATGCAATTTTTCACCCACAGCTTCGTCCAATAGTATGTTTTTTGTTTGACAAAGAAAAAAAAGTTTTAATTGTTAAAAAAAATTAAATGTCTTTTTTTTATTGGAAAAGCATCGTTTTTTTTTTTTTTTTGACAGTAACATTGTGGTATTAATAACCGTTAAGCAATGTGATACTGCTGTAGTAGAATTCAGACGGTTGATGAGCTTAACTTTGCAGAATCTTGAAACACGTAAAACAAAGTCAAACTATAATAACATTGATATTATCGAACTGGAAGTTCCACAGAAGCAAAGATTAGTAAGTTTTTTTTCACGCTCAAATTCTTTTTTTTTTTTCACTTTATGTTATAAATCGAACGATATGGCACTGTAAGCGTTTTTATAAAAAAATTAATTAAAAAAAACATAAATTAGTTAAACACTTTTTCGGCAAAACAAATTAGTTAAAACTAAGTACCGTATTAGTTCTTCTTTTCTCTTTACTGTTCTTTTTTTCAAATTATAACAGTTTTGTTCTGCTAAACTTCAGCAGCAGCATTTTCCTACACTTATATCGAAAATCAGAAAAAAAAATGGCATCTCTAATGGTGAAATAGTTCTTCTTCGATACATTTCTTGTTGTAATGAAGTGAAAAAAAAAGGGAGTAAAAAAAGTAGAAATAATTTTTTTTAAATATTTTTTTTTTGTTGTTATCGGGAAGTAAATCAATTTATTTCTTTGATTATAGTGGTTAAAAATCTACGAGCAGAAAAGAAAGAAATTTTTTTTGTACTTTCAATTTTCTGATTTTTCCTTTTTTTTCTTATTTTTGCTTTCATTTGTTGAGCTAAAAATCACTTTTTTTATGAGGCGGTTTTTACTTTTTATTTGAAATAACTATCTATCGATAAGTGTTGCTGATTTTAAGAGCCAAAAAAAGAGAGTTCTTTCTTTGTAATACCAAAGTTTGTTTTCAGCAATTTACTGTACACTGCACCACGTATTATGTGTATTTTATTTTTGAAGAATGGAAAGAAGAAGAAGCGAAAGAAAAAATAGAAAAAAAAAAAGAATTTAATCAATTTATTTCTTTTGATTAGGAAAATTTAATGCAAATTTTTATGGATATGTTTAGCACGAAAATGGCACATCGGTAAAATGGCGTTTGGAATACGGTAACGAGGTAAATAAGTCCACTGTATGCCAAAAAAAATACCTTTAAAAATGGTGGCAACACGTTTACCGTAGTTTTCAATAGATTTGCATAATTTTCTTTGAAATTTTTTGCTTACCTTTTTCTATTTCTCTATGTTTATGGATAAATAAAAAACAAAATTTGATTTTTTTTGTTTAAAAAAAACCACTAAATTTATTTTTGCTATCACACTTTTTTCATCTTTGGACTTATCAGTTGTTTGTGGCTATTTATCCCTATTCTACTTTTTTTTCCCACCTTTCACTAATCCGATCCGGCTTTATTTTCCTTCTGTCTTTTGTTCATCTTCTTTTTTCTTCCTTCTTTTTTGTTTTTTTTTCAAGTGAAATAGTTTTAACCAAAATAATATTGTTGATGGGGGAATCAATAACTTATTGCCGATTAAAGGAGTATACGTACAAAACAGATTACACTCACTTATACACATTTCATAAATCTATCCGTAACTTTCTCTTGAGTAAATGCATAACAAGCGCTCATTTACAATCAGTTTAATTCTCACCGTTTTTATCTTTTTATATTTCTAACTTTAGTTTTTCTGTACTCCTATTCTATTTCAAACTTTTTCGGCTTCTGGCCGTCACAAGGTTCAACTTTTTTTCTCTGCACTAAACAGCTATAGAAACTAAATTAAAAGTTGGATAAGCCGGGTCAGATTAATATGCTAATGATTGTTTGAAGTTGTTACACGTTACATTTGTAGTAGTAGTAATAGTAGTAGTGTATAGTTAGTTTGTGTTTGTGGCTGTGCATTAAAAGTTGTAAACTGCTTCTGTTAGAAACCACAAAAATGCATAATTGTTTTCAAAGTTTTGTACGTTAATTTTACTGAGTTTTTTTGACCAGATAAGGCTGAAAGTATCAGTATTGCAATTTTCTAGAATGGGAAATTCTCAAAAAATGAAAAATTTTCAGAACTTCTTTTGGATATGTTTGTTTGGTTCTATCGCAAAAGGAAAAATATAATTTTTCATAAGGATATCTTTTTTGTCAACAAAACTGTTCAATTTCTTGGGTAGGGGGTGGAAAAAGTGAGTGGAATTTAGAAAAATTATAGTGATTTTTGGATAATTGGTCTAGTGTACGTCTGTGGCACGCATGTAGATCTCTTTTCACCTTCACATGCTACTAGTAATCATAGAAATGTTTTCACCAACATTACAGATATGTATAAGTAGTTAAAATCAAGCGTTTTTCAGCTACGTACTGCTGCTTTTGGTTGCCAGAATAAAATGGAAGAAGAAATCTTATTTGCCACTAAAGATCTGGTCAGCAATTCTTAATTAGTTAAACCTGTTTCAAGTAGGCTTCCTCTGACAACATTACATTTGCCGCATAACTACATTTTTTTAGAAACGTGTATTCAGACAAACCAATGATTACTATATTGCATGTATCAACAATGGAACTATGAAGTAAGATATTCACTTGATGTTTATTACTTCGATTATCCTGATGAAGTGGCAACTTAGTTGGTTTAGAGTTTTGTCTGCTTTAAATGTCAGGGCATAGAGTCCTCTGAAATCTAGTCGTTTAAAACTGTAAGTGACTGTTGAGGGAACGCCTATTTGGCATGTGTCAACTGTACTTCTGATGATTCACAATTTCTTTAACCTTTCTGAGTGGTAGCTTTTGTAATTGTGTTTTTCAAGAGAGGAAAAGTGTTTAATTATAACGTAACAATTCATAATGGTTTAGGCTTGGGTTTGCAGTTGCCAAAGGTGAAAGGAAGGTGTTTGAACCTGGGAACATTGATTACAGAAGAATACAAATGGGCTGGTTTGAAGGGAAATACTATAGAATACATCCAAACTGGTCAGTCACGGTTTAGATTTAAAATATGTGTATATAGTTATTTTATCTGTAGTCAGAGTATTTGCAACTCTGACTGTGACTGTTTGGTACACGATAAAGAGCAGATTTTTTTATGTTTTCTAGTTACAGAAGCCATTTTTTAGAAGATTATACCTACACAATTGGGTGTAAAGACTGTTTTTTCTTGAAGATATGGAGTTTTAGGAGGTATTGTTTGTTGAACGATAGCGATAGTGGAATGACAGCGGAACAAGCATTTATAGTTTATATCAAACAGATGATAACTACCGGTAGATTACCAGAATTGTGTCAACAACGGAAACCTCTAGTTGATAAACTAATTTTTGACACAACAAGGACGCAAAGCTTGTGGGATAAATGGAAAGCCAATCAGCGAACTTTGAAGTATAATTTTTTTCAATTTTAAATTGTGGTCATTGTGAACGGCCTCAGAAGATTATTGTGCAACAGGAAAAGAAAATTCCAGAAAGATAATGGAAATACTGTTAAACTTTTGAGCTGACTTTATAATGATCGGTTGCTATTGCCCAGTAATCAAAACGTTTCTGTGTCAAAGTTTTCTTCAAATAAATCTTTTATGATGCATAATGAAGTTGTTGATGCAATTAATCGCGTTTAATTTACAGAAAGCCTATAAATCTTATATTTTTCGCTACGTCATCTGGTATGATTCGTTTTTGGGATAGAATCCCGGAGAAGTATACGGATGAAGACCCGAACTGGAAAAAGAAACCAAAGAAGGTTCCCGGTAGTAATATTACAACGATTAAGGAAGATAAAGCAAAGCACAAGGGACAGCGGAAGTAATATTATTGTCACAAATTTTTTTGCAGAAAGCACCTGTTTGCTATGCAATTATGGATAAATTTTTTTGTTCTTAATCTGCTCCAAAGTAGTGTTAGCAAAAACGATAACAGTGAACGAATAACTGCTATAGAAGAGTATTCAGAAAAAGATACTTTTGTTGTTAAAATGACGTTTTCAGTTGAATGAAAAAATTTTTCAAAATTTAGCGTATTTTGAAGAATATATAAGTGAATAAGGTGAAAAACTGATAGTCACAGTATTTTCAAAAGTGAAAAAATAACAAAGACTAATTTTTTGCTTTAATCATCTCATCTTATTTTTAAATATACGGTCACAACATTTCTTTTTAGAAAAAAATAACTTTTTTTGTAACTGCAGGAAATATCTACATTTTATAACGGAATTAAACAATCGGTCTGTTGATGACGAATATTTCATCAGGTCTATACGGCTGAAGGAACGCATCGTATTTGATCTCAACAAGCAATGTTTGTTTACAGATATAGTTCTCAAATTTTTCTTTTTGGCTTTCCAAAAGTTTGTGATATCTTGATAGTTATAGAATAACGCTTGTCCTTTTTTCTTTTTGCTGTTACATGAGAACACTACAGTGCTAAAAGTCTCTTTCTGTCTTGTATAAAACTGCTCAGGAGACGATAAAAGTTTACTGGGAGTGAAATGGAGGCATAAGTTGATATTAAAACTTGAATTGTTGCACCGACAAACCGGCATTACTTTTTAAGCAAATTTGTGGAGCAAACCAAAGGGTGAAGTATCACAATTGGTGGTAGCAACGAAGGCGTTGTATAAATCAAACGGCGGTGCTTTATTAGGGGTTGCGGGTATTGAATTTCCAATGGACTATTTTGCGGAACTGTTCAATCGTATTGCTTGCAACAGTGAAGTAAGTAGTAAATTGTTTTTTTTAAGTAAAGAAAGGAAACTGTTATTTGTTGTAACTTGATGAGTTTGAAACTATATTTATGAGTTTTTCAAAAAGGACCTGTTAACTAAGAATGCTGTGAAAAATTCATTTAATTATTGCCACTTCATACAATTATCACTAAATTTTTGTTTGCAGGATGCAGAAACGGAAACAATTTGGTGCTATTTGTTAGATGAACACGGCTATATTTTCTACAGTAACAGGAAATTATCTCGATTTACCAATGCTAACGGTGACAATGAACGATCAGAATTCGGTGAATGGTTCGGTAACGCAACAGCATTAACAGAAAAAACAATGACACTTCTGTTAAAGAATAAGTTTTATACTAAGTAAGTGACTTGCTGTTCTACAATGATTTCCAGTTCTTTGCCAGTTTTTGTCAAACTGATTGTTTATTCATTGATATAATTATTTGTAGTGTCACTTATGTGGATTATCAGGCGGTATGTAATCGTGAAGAAATTGGGCAAATAACTGCTGCTGGGATTCGGGTAACATTTTTTTTATAACGTACAGACTCTACGATTGGCGAAGAACTTAGCTTTATGAATACTATCCTTTCTGCTTTTTTGTGGGTTTGCTTTTTAACTTGTCGTTACTGAAAGAATATGTTACAGCCTGTACTAACAATAATTAAAACATTTATATTACTTCTTTATCGGTTATGGAGGATGATATGTGACCTTGCAACACTTCATTTTATTGAAAGTTTGGTGCTGGCTCCAGTTAAAGGTATTTTGTAAAGAACTTTCAAAACCCTAGTTTACAATAGTTTTTTATGATGCTTCAGATTGACTGTTTATAATATTAATAGTTTTTCTTACAGCTTATACACCAACTTTTCGAGACAATAATGGTGGATACGCATGTGATAAAGCTTCAAAATTTTATTTGGCCAATTTTGGTATTTCTGGTTGGTCGGCCCCAACATCGCCTCCACAAACAGCTTCACTTAGTGGGACCGACAGCAAAGTCAGGACGTGTGACAGCGGTAACTGTGATGTGTAAGTTCAAAATTTTTGTTAATAAATGAATGATTTTGGTTCTTTAACGCGTATCATCTGTAGTTCTTTATATAGCAAAAAAAAAAATAAAAAGTGAATGACAATAACTTTTTCAAGAAGGTTATACGCAAGTTGGGTAAAAAATACAAATTTATTGTTGGTTGTCGTCTCTGGTAAACTACGATCTAGTTATTGTTCTAATAGTCAATGTCGAAGAACTGGACCTCAACAAGTTCCCTTTGGCTTTAACTTGGTAAAAATTTTGGGAATTACAATTTTTTTTGTCTTTATTATACTTTTCAAACTTTTTCTGTCTACATAAAAAAGTAGGTTAAATTCCTGTGCTTATTTCTCCGCCTGAGCCAACTTAAGTGAATATCCATGGAAACAATACTGTTGGTAGCTTTGTTTTCTGCAGCAGTATTTGGCATTGAGATTGGTATTAAAAGAAGAAAGGTATCTATTAGACGAGGATTCATGTCTATTTGGCTTTTTGTTGCTTCTCCATCTTCATTTTTATTAATCAAGGTCCATGATGCTTCTGACAAAAGTTTCAATTCTTCGATGGATGATGATGGTAGGGTCTGTCGGCACGTATATGCAAAAGAACGACGGCCAGTAACAAAGTGTGCCTATCTTGACATGGTATGTAGACGTTGCTTATTATTAGTTGCATCTTAGTAGATTGCTCGTTTTTGATTATAGCGAATGTAACTTTTTTTTTGTAATATGAATAGCTTTTCAGAATGAAACAGGTTATCCATGTTCATACGGTTTGCGGGTTCCAGTATCCTTTACGGTTTACCTCGTATCGCTGGTATTTATTGTATTTTCAAGTGGTATTCTGTAACTGAATGAGTACCGCTGACTTTTTTTCGACAAATTCTGTGATATGTATTGATAAAAAAAGTTATGTAGAGAAACAGCTGACAGAAATGGTGTTTTTTGTCGTCAAATGTATATTTCTGTATAATTTTGTAGGTTTTAGACCTTTCGTTTTAGACCACCGTAAAAGCTGTCTAGAACAGCCGTAGTAGCGATCACTGTTTGAGAATTTTTTTAGTTCATGTTTTATTGAAAGATATACTAATGTCTTTCCTTCCTTCCTCCCTCCCCCCACTGTTTCTGCAACATCTTCCCCTTTTATAACACAGACGTTTAACCGTCTCCTCAATTCTACATGCTCTCAACTTTTGTTTGTTTATTTGCTTGTTTTGTTTATTCAAAATACAGTTTATCTAACAAATTGTACAGGATTACTTGAAATTTTGACCAGTTCGTCATTCATTCTTCTTGTCCCTCTTTGCTAATTGCTGTTACCAAATTAATTTTTGTTATATTGTTTACGATGCTCAAGAAAACTAGTCTAAATTTATCGAGTAATATAACGATAACACATTGGCGAACTGAAGTGTCAAAGTAAGTGTTTCATTGGATTTGTCAGAAGAAAAGAGAATTAGAAACAAAATTAGGTTTGAGATTGTGGAATGAGCAGAACAAAATGTGTAATCTTTTCTGAAATTCTAGCATTTTTTGAAGAATGAACAATTCGATCTGTTTGGAAACGGTGGGCGAAATGTTGTGTGGACGATTAAATAAACTACAGTGCTAAATGCTTTGAAAGCACGCAGCAGTGTAGAGCCACTGAAATGTCCACAGTCTGAAAACAAGACGGAAAACCAAAACTGAACTTGAAGTTTTCTGCAGTACCTCTTTTTGAGAAGAATTTGACACAGGTGTTAACTTTGACACTTTAGTATCAGTCGTTTGTTATACAACTCAATGAGTAAGTATAGTATCGTTATTTAGAAGTAGTCTTCCTAAGTGATGGGAACAAGTATATATCTGTAACCATGTGTTGTTCGTATAATTCGTTTAAAGAATTCTATTTGATTTATTGTAACTACTGGTTGACAAAAGTAATTTGCATTTAGATAATTTTCAAACAAGATTTTTTTTACAGAAATGTTTTTCTGATATATTTTTTGCAATGTCTTTGTACTAATTTTGGCAAAAAAAAAAACTAACACCAAAAATTATTTTGTTTGTTGTTAAATTTTTTGCTAGCCTCTGCTGTTCCCTTACATCTATGTTATTTTGATGTTACGGGGAATAAAGTTTATAAGACTGAACTGAACGGGTATACATACATCTGTAACAGAAGAAGTGTGAAATTTGCTCAGGAAAGAAGATTTAATGCTTTGTAAAGAAGTTTGTAAAAAAGTTAAGTAGCATTTAGGAAGTAGCAAAAAAGTTCAAACAGTGAAAAAGATAGAACTATACAGTATCAGAATATTTTTGTCTAAATTGGGAATTACAAATGGGCCGTGCTTTATGCGGCAAGTATGAAAGCATTTTTTTTTTTTTTTTTTTTTTTTTTTTTTTTTT